TGCATCGCGCCGCGTAAACATAAAACCCTGTCTGCATTTGTGATCGGAGAAATGACAAACTACAAATGCTACTCTACACTGCCCAAAACTCGCGTTTGAATCATAAGTGGCAAATCCTTTAAATGAAACCGTACTTACAGACTGTGAGTCAGAACTGCCGGCATTGTAGTAAACTCTCCCAGGATCAGTAAACAGTCCTCCATAAAATGTGCTGCACACATCTGGATATTTGGGTTAAACTGTTCTGGAACAGTGTTGTAAATACAACTTAACCACTGATTTCTAGTCGTGTCCTCTTTTGGAAGACCAAACAAAGTAGTTTCGCTTTCACAACGAAAAACACAGCGGCCTAGACATTTGGGCGGCGTTATGCAAATCTTCCCACATGGTGAGGTAGATATGTGGGGGCGTGTTAGAACGAGCCGTTTTAGGTAGGCGTGGTTAACTCTTAACTTTTATAAAGAATATCTCTTTGGATTTGAGACTTTAGTCTTTGCAACTTTACAGATCTTCTTTATGCACCAAGAGCTTGTAACACTCCAAAGAGAAAGGAAAAATTGAAATCGCAGCATATGACCCCTTTAAACGAAGGGTAGATGTAGTAATAACATGGTAATAACACAAACACTATCAAAATTTGAAATTCACTCATTAATTAATAAGTTATTAATCACGTAAAATATGGTTTTAGTTGAAAAAACACAGGTTATGACTGTTTCTAAGCTTACATTCCACCGGGTTCAAATGGACACAGGAATGCAAATATCATATGTAGTTTTTGAATGAATTATGTATGAGGTTAATTGAGCTAAAAGAAGTGTTGCCCCCTTCTGCTCTCTCATGCCAGGTGCCATTCAGGTGATGGTGGCGTCTCGTTCTCTCTGCTGGGGCACCAACATTTCTGCCCACCTGGTGATTGTTATGGACACGCAGTACTACAACGGGAAAATCCATGCGTAAGTGTTTTCTCATCCTTAGCGGGCTCAAATTATTGATGCCATCACCAGTATTTACTCTGTGCATGTGTATTGCTCATAAATGTCTTTCTCCAATTAGATATGTGGACTATCCAATCTATGATGTGCTCCAGATGGTAGGAAAGGCTAACCGTCCTCTCCAGGATGATGAGGGCCGGTGTGTTATCATGTGTCAAGGGTCCAAGAAGGTAAAGCTTAAATTAATCCACATATTTTCTTGTCTTAAGATCACCATTTTTGGTTACCTCTTAATAATTTTGAACCACCTTGTTCTTTAGGACTTCTTCAAGAAGTTCCTCTACGAGCCTCTGCCTGTGGAGTCTCACCTGGACCACTGTCTTCACGACCATTTCAATGCTGAGATCGTTACCAAGACGGTGGAGAACAAACAGGACGCTGTAGACTACATGACCTGGACGTTTCTGTATCGCCGCATGACCCAGAACCCCAACTACTACAACCTGCAGGGTGAAGAACCACAATCCTTCAAATGCCCACAAGTTTCACTACAGCAGGACAAATGGACTTGAAATTCAAAATCTAGACTTTATGCTACAAAATGTAGTTTGTTGCAACAGGAATGCATGTGAAAATAAGTCAAGCAACAATGTAATTGTAACTTTTTTTTTAGTGCATCAGAGACTAAAATATCTTTGTTTTACAGGTATGTCTCATCGTCACCTGTCAGATCATCTGTCTGAGCTGGTGGAAAACACCTTGCAAGATCTGGAGCAGTCCAAGTGCATCAGCATCGAGGATGAGATGGATGTGGCACCTCTGAATCTGGGCATGATCGCAGCCTATTACTACATAAACTACACCACCATTGGTGAGGACTCTCTCTGTTTAACACACTTCATTAAAGTCACAATGAAACAAGTAGCGACAGATCTTCTCTCCTGTATTGTTATTATTGAAAAAGGATGTAGGGTTGGGATTTCGTACCGACTTTAAACAATCACTAAGCTTCTTGATTGTCTTGCCACATCCATCTCATCTGATGCAACTGTTATCTGTTTGTCCTCTCTCCAGAGCTGTTCAGTATGTCCCTAAACGCCAAGACAAAGGTCCGTGGCCTCATCGAGATCATCTCCAATGCTGCGGAGTATAAAAACATTCCCATCAGGCACCATGAAGACACCCTGCTGCGGCAGGTGAGTAAAAACGCACTTTCCTTTTATGAGTGAGTATAATATGAACTCTTGAACAGACTGCATCAGAGCTCTCTGTTTACATTTTTGTTTTTTACTTTTTCAGCTGGCTCAGAAGGTTCCTCACAAACTGAACAACCCCAAGTTCAATGACCCTCATGTGAAGACCAACCTGCTGCTCCAGGCTCATCTGTCCCGCATGCAGCTGAGCGCTGAGCTCCAGTCAGATACTGAGGAGATCCTCAGCAAAGTGAGGGGAAACACTGAGCACATAGTGAACCTCTTTTGCAGCTCAACAAAAAGGATTTTTAGTGGCCCCAGTCCATTTAAATTTCAATTCATAATTAAATGCATTTTTGTATGCGTTAACATTTTTTGAATGTATAGGTTTTAGTTTTTAGTTTAATATATTTCCAAATGTTGTTGAAATAAGTCTCGTACGCTCTCCAATTCTGCATATGTTTGATCAAAATACAATAAAACCGTAATATTGTGAAATATTCTTACAGTTCAAAATAACTTCCATTAGACCTTTTTAATGTAATTTATTCCTGATGGCAAAGCCTTTAGTCCAGTCTTGTGTTGCATGATACTTCAGAAATCATTGTAATATGCTGATTAGTGCTCAAGAAACAATATTACTGTTTTTACTGTATTTTTGATCAAATAAATGCAGCCTTTGTGAGCACGAAAAAAAGGGGGGGGGGGGGGACAAGTGTAAAATTGTGACCAGTAGTGTATAAATGAAACATTTTCACCAAATGAATACATAAGTATTTTTTTTTTTTTTTTTTATAATAATAATAATGTACATGTTTAAATGAAAAGTTTCCTAAGTCTTTCTTCTGTTCTCTTGCCCGTGTTTTCAGGCTGTGCGGCTGATCCAGGCCTGTGTGGACGTGCTCTCCAGTAACGGCTGGGTGAGTCCAGAGCTGGGGACTTTTGATGTGTATAAGTGAAAAGGTTTCATCAAATGACTACATAACAGCTTTTGGCTTATCTTTCTTTCATTTTCTTTAATTGGAGGATTAAATTAAATTTTCTTCTCTTCTCTTGCCTGTGTTTTCAGGCTGTGCGACTGATCCAGGCGTGTGTAGATGTGCTCTCCAGTAACGGCTGGTTGAGTCCGGCGCTGGCTGCTATGGAGCTGGCTCAGATGGTCACACAAGCCATGTGGTCCAAAGACTCGTACCTCAAACAACTACCCCACTTCACTTCTGAACACATCAAGCGCTGCATGGACAAGGTGAGAACTGGGTCTGAGAGGGTTGGGAATCATCTAAACGCTGAACTTCATCTTTTGGTTGTGTGTCTCATATCTGTTTTGTTGAACGTGTATAGGGTGTGGAGAGCATCTTCGACATCATGGAGATGGAAGACGAGGATCGCACTGGTCTTCTGCAGCTTACAGATGTACAAATGGCGGACGTGGCACGCTTCTGTAACCGCTATCCCAACATTGAGCTGTCATACGAAGTGGCTGACAAAGACAACATCAAGAGGTACGAACTGAACTCAAAATGCAAAAGGCTTCAGTTGAAAATGCATAACCTTGTGTGGGTGTACATTTAATAATTTTTAGCATTAATCACTGAAGATATAAATTATCTTTTTGTGCTTATAGTGGAAGTCCAGTGGTCGTCCAAGTGCAGTTGGAGCGAGAAGAGGAAGTTACAGGTCCTGTCATTGCTCCTCTGTTCCCTCAGGTGAGTTTCTATTGACAAACCCTGTTTACAATAATGTTCAAAAGTTTTGAATCAGTTATGTTTTTAAATAAAGTGTCTTGCTCACCCAGGCTGCATTTACTTCATCAAAATTACAGTAAAAACAAAAACTCTGTATCTTGAAATATAACTGCACTGATAAATGATTTGTTTAAATAAAGTTTAAAATGTAATGTATGAATTTTCAACAGCCAATACTCCAGTCTTCAGAAATCATTCTAATATGCTGATTTACAGCTCAAGACACATTTCTGATTATTAATATTAACATTATTAATATTTTTTGTGGAAACTGATTCATTTTTTCGGGATTCTTTGATGAATAGAAAGTTCAAAAGAACAGCATTTATTTTAAATAGAAGTAAAAAACAATATTTAACAAAAAAAAAAAAGTCTTTGACTTTTGATCAATTTAACGCATCTTTGCTGAATAAGTTAATTTCTTTAAAAAAAAAAAGTTACTGACCCCAATCTTGCAATAAGATATGTTTCAAAATGATGTTGTTTATTTTATAGAAATGCAGCATTACTTCATGACATTGTGTTTGTTTTGTGCAGAAACGTGAAGAAGGCTGGTGGGTTGTTATTGGAGACCCCAAATCGAACAGTCTCATCTCTATCAAGAGGCTAACTCTTCAACAGAAGGCCAAGGTCAGTCCTGCTTTTTTTTTTCGAAGGCAGTAGTGCATTACTCCTGTCTTTTACAACCCTCTAATTGTAGTATTAAAAAAAAAAAAAGTCTTGTGAGAACTGTTAATGATATGGAGTCTGTTTTCTTCCCTCAGGTGAAACTTGACTTTGTAGCACCTGTTGTTGGTGTGCACAACTACACACTGTACTTCATGAGCGATGCCTACATGGGCTGCGACCAGGAATACAAGTTCAGCATGGAGGTTAATGAAGCAGACAGTGAGGGGGAAAGTGACAGTGATTAATCCCAGATTAGTCATAGTGGATGGTTATATCATGTTAAAGCAGTTTAAGTGTTTTTTGTATGTTTTTTTGAAGAATATTGTGACATTTTAATTCATTGTGATTTAAATAAAGATAGATGTACATTAGAGATTTTGTTTTGCACTTTTATTAAAAGACCATTAGAAGAAATCATTGAGGTCATTAATGTATATTAAAAGTGTACGAATAACTGCATTAAATAAAGAAATGGCTCATTCATGGTCAGTGTTTAGATACGGGGATTCAGTGAGCTTGTTAAAGCAGTGTCTCCAAACACATTGGTGTATGAAGCCTTAAGGTAGTGGACGTAGTTCTGCAGGCTGCGGTTGGCACTGTTCACTTGTTCCAACTGGTTCTTCATGTCTTGAAGTTTGCACTGAAATCGCTTCTCCATCTGAAAAATGAACCCCAAACTGTTTCTAGTAGGTCTTAATGTAAGCGCAATTATGAATATTTGACATGTAAGGAAAATGCAAGGAAAATGTAAATAAGCGAAGCATCAGTGGCATGTTGCTGATTCCCACAAACATTGACTCGTCTCAGTTTTTGACTTCAATGACCTTTCCAGTGGTTCGTGGATAATGATTTTTAGAATTTTGCAGATTGATGGGGTTGAATAAAAGCAATGTTATCACAGTGGCTTTTGCTTGTTTCACTCTACAAAGGGATATCTAGCTGCTTAAATATTTTAGAGAAATAACAGATTAACTACATTTTCTAGGGGGGGGAATATGATTAACAAAAAAAGTGAAGACAAAACAATTACGCACTTAAAAGAGAAGCCTAGAATCAACTCTAAAAACTTGTTTCATAGACTTCCATTATCAGTATGTTTCTACTGAGCCTCTAGATCAGGGGTGTCAAACTCAATTCCTGGAGGGCCAGAGCCCTGCAGAGTTTAGATTCAACCCTAATTATGCACACGTAATCCAACTAATCAAGTCCTTCAAGCTTATTTGAAATCTACATGGTATGTGTTGGAGCAGGGTTGGAACAAAATTCTGCCGGGCTCTCCAGGAATTGCGTTTGACACCCCTGCTCTAAAGGGACATTATATTTCAATGCTTTGCATTTTGCAGAGAATTTTACAGTATAACGCTTTAATGATTTCTGTAATATTTTCCAAATGTGGTGTTGTCGTGGAGCTTGTTTAGTATTGTGCAATGGAAAGTTTCATTTCGAACACTTACATCCTCTTTGCTGAGGCGCAGCTGACCCAGCTCCTTTTTAGCCAAGCTCAGCTGGCTCTCCAAATCCAGCATTTTAGACTGAGCTGAGCGTTCTTTGGACAGCACCCGCTCCAGGCTCTGGTCCACCTGTGAACAAAGACTCAACTTGAAAAGCATGTATACACTAACCTCACACAGGTGCAACGTGTAGCATCAAAATGAAATTGCTGTGGACTGTGACCTGTCTCTGTGCCTCCTCCCTGGCCTGCTCCAGCAGTCTGTGGAGGGAGTCACACTCTCTGCTCCTCTCCTCCAGACGCAGCTGAGTGTTGTGGATGGTCTCTTCACGCTTAGCCACAACCTGAAGCAGATCCCTGTTCTGAGTGCTCATATCGTCCATTTTCCTGTGTGAACCAAGAAGAGTGATACAAAAATGTGACAGTCGTTGAAAAACTGGTAGGAAATTGAACAAAGTATTTAGCTTCAACTGTCTTTGTGTCAATTGGGTGTTTATGTTAAAAGACCCAATCAAATGTTAATTTATTTTATTTTTCGAATTATTTTCTGCTAATATTTCCTGTTTAAAATAAAAAATGTGATGCTTTCTAGCCAGTGGCAGGAGAGCAGAATATATTATATAATATTAGTAATATAACAATATAAATATATTGTGGTTTATTTTATAAAAGATGGAAATTTAAATATAAATAATAATTTTGCAAAGGTCTTTTAAAATTTTTATTATATTATAGCAGGAGATAATGCCATTATATATATATATATATACTATTTTGATTTCATGAGGTCTTTTAAAAATATATTTATGATATTATATTTCCTTTTACAATACGCATTTCAGCTGCATATTATAAAAGGAAATTTAAATATAATTATCAATTATTCATAATTTCTTTTAAAAATATATTATTAAATTACATTATATTTATTATATTATATTAGAGCAGATGTGCAGCAGACCTTTCAGTGCTTTCTATGGAGTGTTTCAGCTGCATGTTTTCTTCAAGTACAAATAAGTTCTTCTCCTGGAGATTCTCTATTTTACAACTCTGCTGCTCCGTCTACATACAAAAAAGAAAATGCATCATGAAATTAAAAACCCTTCTGATTTCACTGTAATATTTGTGGTGTAAACATGAGTACACATGTGTGATCACCTTGATTCTGAGCTCAGACAGAGTGCTGTTCTGCTCTGTATTTCTCCTGTCCTGGATGTGCATGTTCTCTCTGACCTCCCTGAACTCATCCTCCGAGTGCTTCAGAGCTTCACACAGCATCTCCATTTCCTTCAGACGAGCCTGGAACTGCTTGCGGCCCTGTTCCATCTCTCTTTCTATCTCCTCGCGGTCACTCTGTGCTTCCTTCTCCACCATCTCCAGCCTCAAAGAGTATTCCTCTGACTCCAAACGTGTCTTTTGCAACTGCAAGAATTACGAAGGGTTAATGTACTACGTCTCAGTGAAGATGGACTGTAATGAGCTGTGAGGGTGATATGTTAAAAGCACCTGACTCTTGTAACCCTCTACCAGACTCTCAAAGTCTCTGAGAGAAATTTTCAGCCGCTGTCCCTCCGACTGAGTCAAAGACAGCCTGTCCTCTGTGGCTGACAGAGTGCTCTAAAAGAGGAGACATGCAAGATAAAGCACAAAAAATCTATCTATAAATGGCTTTGGATGAATAAGAAAAGTCTAGATCTAGACAGATTTTTTTAGATTTATTGCCTTGAGTCTCTGGTTTTCCAGTTTGGTAGCTGTGCTCTCTGAGGTGAGGGAGTGTAGACGGCTGAGAAGCCCCTCTCTCTCTGTGCAGGACTTCTCCTCACAACTGTGCAGCTGTTCACTCAACTCAGTGAGGCGACTGCAAATACGACAATTGGGTAAATATCAGGAAACTTGACAAAAAAAAACAACAACTCTATTTTATATTGAGTTTATACAATATTTCAATCCTCAAAAGACAATAACAAGAAATTATACTTTATTTAAAGAAAAGCTGTTCAAAACCATTTTATTCAGAGTAATTCTCATTACTATATATATATATATATATATATATATAATAATAATAATTAATAATTCTCATTAATGTAATATTAAGTGTATTAAGTAAGTATTACTTATTTATAAGTTAAAAAAAAAAGCAAATGTCACAAAATTCCCACAAAAATATTAAAGGGATAGTTCACCCAAAAATTAAAATTCTGTCATTA